GGATGGATCCCCAAACCACCTACATCCCCACCCAACATCTTAGCTTCACAAGAAAAAAAAAAAAAAAAGACCAAGAAGAAGAGGGAGAAGACGAAACTTTACTAAGAACTTTCATTTCCTGATCGGTAGGAGAAAGCACGTCCAACCACCAAGTAGAAGCCTCTGCGTCTTCATCGGACCTAAGAAGGACGCCAGACCTCGACCTAGGCTTTGCGTTCTTGGACGACTCATCATTATCGGGGGAGGCAGTCGCGAGGGGATCGATTGTGGAGGAGCGGAGGTTGGGCCCGGCGGCGGCGGCGATTTGGGCATCTGTTAGAAGACCCAAGTCGTTAGGATTAGGGACCGATGAAGAGTTAGTGAAGGAGGAGGAGGAGTGGCCGATGTTTGGGCCGGGGGGCTCGGCGGTCAATGTATCTGCGCCAGGGATATCGACGGAAGAGGAGGATTGTTGTTGTTGAGTTCTGCCGAGAAAGAGCTCTTCCAAGGTCTGCCCTTTGCCTGGGATTTCAGAGAGACTACGAGCATGGATGGTAGAGGGGAGAGCGTTGGAGTAGAAGGAGAAGCGGTAGGGCCGTTCGGCGGGATGATGAGCGGCCCAGCGGACTTGGCCGGCGGGAGCTCTGGTGGAGTCGTGGTTATGAGCGGCGGAGGAGGGAGGGGCAGAGGATGGATGGATGCCCGGGAAGCGACCCTTGGCAGCAGCCATCAATAGGCCGCCCCTCGGATTGTTCTCCTTCTGCTGAGGCCCACCACTGATCGCTGAGCCCGCCTCGGTCTGCGAGCCTAGACTGAAGCCGCTTAGTCCGGTGCCCTCGAAGAGCGCCAGTTTGCGCTTGGTCGTGCTCATCGGCCGCAGGTTCTCGCTCAGTCTTCGGGCACCCATCGGTCGACCTGCTCCTCCAACTCCTCCGTCCTCCTCACCTCCCAGCTCGCCACTGCTCATCGTCCGCGAGCCACCTCCATCGATGTGGATCGAGGCCGGCAGGAAGCCGATCTTGCGGCGCCGGACACCGTCCTTGATCAGCGCCGGATCCTCGTCCTCCTCTTCAATGTCGGGCGGAGAACCCAGCTGGTCCTCCAGTAGACTCCGGCCCATCCTATTGTGGGGGTGGTGTTGGACTCGGGAGCCTGGAAAGCCACCACTGATAGGGGGGCCGCGATACATCGGCTCTTCCGCCAACATCTGCCGACTCTTCATGGTCTCCAGGGTCTCTCTTTCGGCCTGGGCGAATTCCTCGAGAGCCTGGAAGTTGAACGGGAAGGGGAAGTGGGGCAACATGCCAGCGGTGGTAGTCGATTGACCTACATGTCCGAGAGAGTCTCCGATCGTCGGATGATGGTGATGGTGGTGGTGGTGGTGTGGGTCGAGGATGGGCCGGTCAGGGTCGGGGAGACGGGGGAAGCAGACGTCTTCTTCGGCCTGGGATGGACGCGGCGAGGCAGCCGAAGAGGAGTCATGGATGCTCGAGGGCCGGAAGAGTCGGTGTTGGTTGGTGAGCTTGTGGGTGGGGATCGAGCCCTGGGAGTAGTTGCGCCCGACGGCTGCTGGGAGGGGCTCTCTGATCGGGGCTGATGGGTCGGGAGAGGCTCGTCTGAGGCGGTCTCTTAGTGATAGGGTCCGATGGGAATGGCTGGGGTCGCTGATGGGTCGGTTGGCTGATTGAGGGTCTTGGAGGAGATGATGATGGTTGGGCAGATTAGGTGGGGTTGAGTGGAGACGTGAGGATGTTGGGGGATGGGCTCGATGGTGGTGTGCTTCGGATGGATAACGAGGTCGTTGTTGTTGTTGTTGTTGACGGTAGTGATGATGGTCGATTGAGGGGCTGATGAGTAGGTTGGATGGGGATGATGAGTTTGGATGTTGCTGCTGTTGTTGTTGTTGTTGTTGTGCTGGACTGGTGGAATGGATGAGTGGACGATGGTCGATGAATGCGCCATGGCTGCTGTCGAATGAGTTATCGGATGGTGGGCGCCTTGGGAGTCGGGGGAAGTCGGTGTTGGTTTGCTCGTGAAGCTGTTCGGCTGAGAGGTCGATGAAGAGTGCCTGTGGGCTTAGTACGGTTGGGCTGGGTGGCTGTTGAGTGTTTTCGTTTGTTGCTGATCCGGTGAGTAGGTCTTGGTTTGACCATAGGAGGTTGTTGTTTGGATGTTCGTTTGGCTGTTGTTGTTTGAGTGCTGATGAGTTTGGTGGTGAGTGAGATAGGTCGAGTGTGCCTGCTCTTGCTCTGCTGAAGTGGAGTGCAGCCTGTACATCCTGATCGAGTTGGTTCTGACGATGTTGCTGTTGTTGATGTTGATGTTGTTGTTGTTGGGTTGGTGAGTGGTCTGAGTATGGGATGTTGTTGTTAGTGGGTGAGGGTGGTGTCTGTTGTTGTTGAGTTGGTGATGGGTTGATGTTGATTTGGTGGTGTGCTCGTTGTTGTCGGTGGTACTGCTGTTGTTGTTGCTGTTGTTGTTGTTGGTTGTTTGTTGGTGAGCTCATGCTGCTGTTTCTTGAGTTTGTTGTTGTTGTTGGTTTTGGTTTTTTGAGTTGGGGCTTCTTTCTTTCTTTCTTATTTGCTCAAAGTTATGAACTGGCCATCTATACTCCGATCCTATCCGGATACCCAAGCCAGCTGCGGATATCTCCAGATCGAAAACAAGTTTCTGAATTATCAGAAATAAACATCAACCATCATGATCAACTGTCAGAGCTTAATCAAAACACCTCATCATCATCTCAAGAATAACACCAACACATACAAAAACATCAATCCCAGCTGACAATCATCTCACTCTCACCTGCAGCAACAATCGAGCCCCATAAATACAAAAGTGCACACTCATATGAAGTGAGTGGCACTGCAGTCCCTGCTGTTGATGGCCAGGCAGCTATGTACATGATCCAGACAACACCCAAAGAAAACAGATGGACAACTTATCTATCAGCTGACAAGCTCACTCATGGTACAAGTACAACATCCAAAAGCCCCTGATCAGGTTTGCTCTATAATTTACATGCAGATGAGATGAAGAGATGAGAGCCACAAGATTGGAGATGTGTGATACTAGGATCTTAGAGGCCAGGATCCAGCACTACAAAAAGGGTTGAGTTGCATGTTGTGAATGCGCGGTAAACTCGCATTCATAACATTGCATACTCAATGCAATGGATTGCTAGGCGATTTTCAATCGCCCAGGGGCGAAGTAAACTCGCCCGGGGGCGATGTGACATCGCCCAGAGGCAATTGTACTTCGCCCTCAAGCGATTCAACCTTGCCCGACAGCGAAGTTAAATCGGCTGAGGCGATTTTCAATCGCCCTTTTGGGCGATTGAACTTCGCACTCACAAGGGCGAGTGAAGGCCAGGCAATGTAACATCGCATGTGCCCCCGGCGATCCAAACTCGCATGGCGAGCAGGCGATGTATTCCATCGCCTGCTCGCCATGCGATGCAACTGCTGACCGCTCGGCCAGTCTGGTCATCGACTGGAGTAAAAACCCCGGTCATTGACCGTCTGAACCGGCCATCAACCGGGGTACACACTCCAGTCGATGAATGATTGAGCACCAGTCATCGACTGTTGTACACACCCCAGTCGATGACCGGAGGTCGATGCCCAGTTCCGGCGGCAATCGCCTGGGCAACAGACCCCCGTCAATGACCGGCTGAGACGGCCATTGACTGGGGAACACGCCCCGGTCAATGACCGGCTGAGCCGGTCTTCGACTGGAGGACATACACCAGTCGATGACTGGCTGAACCGGCCATCGACTGGAGTGGGTACCCCAGCCGATGACCGCCCAACCCGGTCACGGAGTGTCGTACCCCTCCAAGAGAGAATGGGAGGGGTACTGGGCCCCTCCAACCCGTCCAAAAGGATTTTGGAGGGGTACTGACCCCTCCAAAAGGATTTTGGAAGGGGTACTGACCCCTCCAAAAGGATTTTGGAGGGGTACTGACCCCTCCAAAAGGGGTTTTGGAGGGGTACTGACCCCTCCAAAAGGGTTTGGTACTGACCCCTCCAAAAGGATTTTGGAGGGGTACTGACCCCTCCAAAAGGGTTTTGGGGGGGTACTGACCCCTCCAAAAGGGTTTTGGAGAGGTACTGACCCCTCCAAAAGGGTTTTGGTGGGGTACTGACCCCTCCAAAAGGGTTTTGGTGGGGTACTGACACCTCCAAAAGGGTTTTGGTGGGGTACTGACACCTCCAAAAGGGTTTTGGTGGGGTACTGACACCTCCAAAAGGGTTTTGGTGGGGTACTGACACCTCCAAAAGGGTTTTGGTGCGGTACTGACCCCTCCAAAAGGGTTTTGGTGGGGTACTGATCAACCTTCAACACCTATTTCAATGAATCAAAAATCATATTTTATCTGTTTTCTTCACTGATTTTTCCAAAGCAATGAAACTGGGGCCAAAACCATGATCCTGGTTTTGGTGAAAGTGTGGGTTGATCAGCTTTGATAGAGCAATATAATGGTGCTTTAGGCACTATTATATCAGTACTAATGATTGTGCCTTTTTCATTATTGATACTAATAATAATGTGTTAGACTTGGACACAGTATACACTGCCCAGAAGACTACAATTTGTTTTATCTTCCATAATCTTATTTAACAATGAGATTATAAATCAATCATTTATATAATATATTTCATGAAAATACTTTTCTGCTAATCCTTCAAACTTTTTTATTATTGTTAATATTACTCCACAATTATCTCCTTCTTATTTTAATAATTCTACAATTAAATATGGGTTTTATGGCTAATTCATAGCTACCAAAGTTAATTAATTATGTATATTCTAGTCTACTTGAATTTCTGAATTCAACTCTGTTTATATGGCACGCACGCCTCTGGATATTTCATAAATTCATTATCAAGATCAAACCCCCTTTTAGTGCAGAGATTTTCAGATGAGAACTTCCATCTAGTTGTCCTCATCTAATTGGTAAACAACAGTGCCCAGGACATCAAATCTGTTTGGTGAATGCCCGGTGTCAACACCCACATACAAGGAGCCTGCGTGCAAATAGAAATTAGGAGATCAAGAGGTAAGTATTGTCAGAGATTGATAAGATAGGGGGTTAATGATGATGTGAAATAATAAACTCACCTCCAGAAGATTCTTCAAGTCCTGTTGAATAGCCGAGTATAACATATTTATGTTGGTTGAGATAGTTTGTCTTCCTGGCAAAGACCTCTTGATCATTGGATGAAGGAGTGCCTGATGGCTGTAATCAACTAGGGCAGAAAAGGCATGGCTGCCTTGGCAAACAATATTGCACAAAGTTGATTAATCTGAATTGTTAATTGCAGAAAATAAATCATCATCAGCATAGTTGCATTGAAGTTTTAACCTGGTGTGCTTATGTCTTGGGAATTGTTGTCTCCAGTCCCCTTGACACCAAATCAAGCTAGAGTCTGATTATTTTCCGTCTGAATTTGCTTTTGGTGTCATACCGCTGAGTGTTTATTGCGGTTACTAAATGAGGAGTCTGAAGTTGGCCAATTCATTGGAGTGCCACAACTAATCAAAAATTTCATCTGGGAGGAATTTATTGTGAAAGATCTGGTGAGTCAAACTCAGATTTTGCAAGGGTATGCTATCATTCACCTCTTGTGTTTGTCTTGTTGGTTGGAGAGCTTGGGTTCCATATACGTCTGGTAGATCTCACTTTTGGGATTTGCAGCGACTCCCCAGGCGTTTTCTGGGTTGGCTAGTGTGGAGTAAGGTCAGACTACAGGGATAGAAGCGGTACCTAACACTTTTTGGCCAAAGTTGGACACCTAGCACCGCACTGGGCATCCACATGGGTGTGCTAGGTACCGGGCCGGCGGGTGTCGGGTACCCCCAAAGGTACCAATTGTAATCTTGACTTAATACCTAGCACAGAGGTATATACAGAAAAAAATATAGAAATTACGGAGAAATATATCTGTAGAGAGTAATTTATATATATTAAAAGAGTTTATAGATTATTTACTATGTTCAGTGAGTTCTTTCATCATATTTGGGCGCCTAAGAGTGGAGGCAACTCATTGGGGTTGAAAGAATAATGGGGTACTTGAATGATTGGGGCACAGATGATAGTTAATAGTTTTATAATTAATTAATTAATACCATAAAATCTTGAATTTTCCAGCATCTTCCAAGAAAAAACTATCATTATATAAGCTTCTTAATCCATATAACATATTTATGAAGGTGGATTTTTCAAAGATTTGAAATAAATTAAATATTAAGTTGTACATTAAAATAAAAAAGGGGAAGACTTTAATGATATTAATATTCCATTATGAGAGTGTGATTTGAACACCAGGTCTTCTGCTCCAGAATTTTATTTCAAAGCTGAGCTTTAAACATTATACTGATACTACTATTCTTAAAACAATCACAAAACTGTAACTAGAGTTATTAATCTTCATGTAATATCTTGGTGGGTGACATTATCAGTGTTACACACTAATAATAGATTCTTTTCAGTGTTACACACCAGTAATGGAATATTATCAGTGTTACACACTAATAATAGATTATTATCAGTGTTACACACTAATAATAGATTATTATCAGTGTTACACACTAATAAAAGATCATGATCAGTGTTCCACACTAATAATAGATTATTATCAGTGTTCCACACTAATAATAGATTATTATCAGTTTTCCACACTAATAATAGATTATTATCAGTTTTCCACACTAATAATAGATTATTATCAGTGTTCCACACTTATAAACACCCAGCGGCAATTGAGGATTTCCAAGTCATCCGTCAATGGAACCTCTTCCCATACCCAAAGTGAAACCATCATATTTATTTCCTCCTCACAGGCCTTGAGCCATTCCAAACGCCACTCAGATTTAATTGCTTTCTTATAAGTGTCAGGCGCATCAGACAAGAAAGGAGCCACAGAGACTACCAAGTCCACACAAGCATCTTGGATTTCAAATTCCTTGATTATGGAGGAATCACTGAGTTGTTCCACACGGATTGAGTTAAGGACACTGGTGAGCTCTGATGGGTCTTGACAATGACAATTACAAGGTAGTTCATCTTCATTAAAAATGACCGAACCACCACGCTCAATTTTGTTTGTAACCGGATCCCATAGAATCCATCCATTCACAACATCAGAAATCCCAACGTGAACCAATGCAGTAGAGCAAGGCACAAACTGTTCAGGGTAGTTGATGTCATGGAGGTACCAACAGTGGGCCGCTACGCTATTTGACCACTAACTGTTAGTGTAGTGGCCTTTTTATTTCCGGGAAATTCTGTAGTGTTAGCTGACGCTAAACCCCACTATGCTAACCGTTAGTGTAGTGTAAATTTTTATCTCAAATTTTTTGGTAGTGTTAGCTTCAAATAATCTCAGCTAAACTAACAGTTAGTGTAACTTTTTTTGTGCTAACAAAATTTTGACCGTCAGATAGTGTAACTGATTTGCAGCTAACATTTAGTGTAACTTATACCAAATTAAGCTACGCTACACTACACTACATGCCTAGTTATGCTACGCTATGGTAGAATTTACACTACACATGTAGTGTAGTGTAAATCATCAATTAGAGAAATTGAAATGTCAAGTGAGAATTTATGCTCTTGAACCCTCTTCCTCTGCTTTCTGTTTTCAATGGAAAAGTTGTGTGAGCTGTCCATATAACTGATACAGCCGAGGTCCATAGTGATGATTTTCAATGTCTTATGATCACACACAATCCCGCAGAAAATGAACAGTACAGGATGTAGAGACAAACAAATGGTGTAAGGTTAGTTGGGTGGTAGTTGCCATGGTTAATGCCAACATCTGCACCACCCCTTGCTATATGATGTGAAAGTGGGAATGGAACCCAGTAAAATATGATCTGAGGGGGAATTGAACCCATAATCTCAAGGTAGTCTGACAGGGGAATTTGGTCTTACAAGTAAGTGTTAAAAATTGGCAGGGGGCTAAAATTGAGTGGCCCCCATTACCAACTGAAAAAAATGATGATCAATTGAGGGGATCTGGATGTACACCACGGGTTGAGTTTTCAAAATGGCGCTGCGTCGGCTTGACCCCGCGGTCAAGCAGCAGTTGGCCTTAACCTGTTTTACGTAATCCTGCCAGATTGGTCTGGCCAACGTCAAATTTTGGACGGAAAACCGCAATTCCAACGTTGGCCTGCCCTCAGGGTCAAAAAGTCCCACCGTTGGCTTGACCACATTTATCAGAATGGAGGGAAAAAACCCACTTTTTTTAAGTTTTTTCTACACCCTCTTCATGCCAAAAATTTGGAGCCACCTCAAGAAAAAAAAAAAATGAAAAAAATGAAAAAACTTAGAAAAAAAAATTGAGGAAAAAATGAAATCCTACAGGCAATTTAAAAGAATGTATGGATATATATGCAAAATCAAACTGTGTGGCATGAGCTGATTGGCACAGTTGGATAAGCCCCCCCTTTGTGCTGTGACATGGCAAGTAGGTAGTGAGTTCAAGCCAGTGATGGTACACTTTTTTAGTACTGACCTGGCTGCGCAGCCATTGTCACCAGTCATGCTGCAGTCAAGCCGCCGCAAGCCCGCCCCGAGACCGCTGGCCAGCCAACGTTGGAGGGTCAAGCCGACCGCGGGGGATTACGCCCCCCGCTATGAAACACCCCAAAATCTTGGTTGGGGCGGCACGGGTCAAGCCGACGAAAGTGCTTGCGTCAAGCATCCGTCGACCAGAGCCCGTGGTGTAGGCCCCCCAATCAGGCACTGTCTTCAGGGTAGACTAATGCTACTCATGTGGTCATGTAAATTTTAATCAGTTGTGCTAAAGGTTAGTGCAACTTTTTCACCAGTTAGTGTAACTGAGGGTACCACTACACTAACTGTTAGTGTAACTTTGCAAAAAGTTACACTAACATGTAGTGTAGTGGTTTCACCCACTAACACGGCTAAAATTTCACTAACAGGATTTTGGTTAGTGTTAGTTGTGCCTTTTTAAAGGTAGCTAACACTACGCTAAAGTTTTTTTTTTGTTTTTTCAAAAAGTCTGTAGTGTTAGTGGGCCAAAAATTCACACTAACGGTAACTTTTGTGGAGCGTAGCTTAAAAAGCTAACACTACGGTTAGTGTAACTGGCCCACCGTTGGAGGTACGCCCGGAAGCTGAAAACTTGGACCACGTCAAGAGAGGGTCAAAGACGCCTGCAAATTTCATAAGGAGTCTTTGTGGAATTGTCGTGAACCAATTGGTTGAAAATGAAAGTGGCTTGTTTCAAAGCAAGAAACCACAGTTGACCAGGCACATGAGAGTGTATCAAAATTGTCCTGTTTGTACATTCCACATTGCCATTTTGGTGGTTTTCATAAGGGACAGACATCTCATGTCAAATATTGCGATCAGAGAGGAACTTATTGAATCGGTTAGAAATGAACTCACCAGCATTGTCTGACCTTACACACAAAACCACGTGACCGGTGTGTTTCTAAAAATCCATTATCCAGTTCATGACTGATTGTGGAGCATTGGCTTTCCTTTTCAGACCAAAAGTGGAAGTCATATGAGAGAACAAGTCCATAGAGCAAACCATTGAGGGCCTCCATGAAAGGACCCACAAGATCAATGGCCACCATGTCTCCAGGCTTATTCACAGTCTCACAAGACTGGGACACGAATGGAGAATGAGTGCTTTTAGATAACAAACAAGAATTGCATTTTTGAGAAAAAGAGTTTAAACACCTATTGGGAGGACCCCATACACACTGATGATCTATTGAACAATTAATAGTTCGGACAGCCAAATGGCCAAGGCAAAAGTGTCACAATTGAGAAGAAACAGCAGACAGAGAAGGGGATGAATTGGTGGGAGCAGAAGCTGCAATGAACTAACGATAGTTTGAGAGATAAGTCAAAAAAACAGAACCAGATTGACAAAAAATGAAAAAAACCATTTGAGAATGAGACAGCACCATCCCACCGTTTGAAAAAACCAACTGAGAGTACTGTGCCCTTGACGCTGGGGCAGAACAAGACATTGCTGAGGCGAAGTTGGCCAGATGATGTAGTATATAAAGATTGCATCACCTACACCCCCTACACTAGAAAAAATGTTGGATTGCATTGTGAAAATGCGCGGTAACATTTCATGTCACATGTGATGTCACCTCACATTTTCAAAATGTGATTGAATTCCTAGGGCAAAACATTCAACTGCATTTTGAAAATGCAAGGTGACATCGCATGTGACATGTGATGTTACCGCGCATTTTCACAATGTGATCCAACATTTTTTCTAGTGCTACGGGAAGGCATTATTTGGAAGCCACACAAAGTTGTATATTAGTAGGCTGAAAGGTGACGAAACATTGACGGTGAGACATTACATGATTAGTTGCCCCTGTATCCACAAGAAGATCACCAGCTTTGTCAGGAGCAGCCGTGATTGACACAAGGGTGTTTTCCAAAGAGAGTAGTTGATTGGAGAGCACAGATGACTTCTTTGTTTTCCACCCAGGTTTATTGGCTTGAGGATTGTCAAGAGGAGTATCGAATTTAGGATTTATTGCAAAACAACCAAAACCAGACTGATAGGAAAAAGGAATCAGTAAAGATAAAAAGCAGGAGAGAGAGAAGAGAAATCAGAAAACAAAGAAGGCCAGATTGAATTGGAGGAATTAGAGGCATACCGCTAATCAGATGGGATGATTATCAGTTGAGGACTTTAAGCAAGATATGTGTGGAGAAGCTGGAGAATCAGAGTATGCTATAAAGAAAGAATGGTTGGCCAGAAGAAGGAAGAAGGTTCAGCAAAATCACATCAAACACAGAGAACTTAGAGACAGAAAGAAGAGAGTGAGATAGGATAGAAAGAGAAACAACAAACAGAGAGCAATATGAGGAGCAGAGTGCAATAGGTTTCAAAGGACCTAGAACAAGATTATGAAGCTGAACAGAATCTACAAAGAAGAAGGAACAGAAGAGGATGAGTTGATTGATGAGTTAGATGATTCAGAGCCGGTGACTTTACAGTAGTTCGGATATCGTAGTTGTAGGAGCGGCGAGGATTTTTCCAAGAGGAGCCGAGCCGTAGATTGAGGGACTGAGCCAGAGGTTTGAAGTTTTTTGAAAGCGAACCAATTGTTGCGATGGTTGATGTCTTCAGGTTGCAACCGTCTATGAAAGACATCTGTTGAGCTAGCCCTAACCGGTTGTGTTGGCTAGAGGGAGTATTGCGCGTGTCTCTTCATGACACAAGCTGCAGAGTTGCCTTTCACGGAAAAAACTCAACAAGGAGGAAGGCCATTTTTAGACATTGGGCAATCAGCAGCCCAGTGACCCCACTCCCAACAGTGACTACAGGGAAATTTGGGGGTGATAAACTTGGATCCCCAACTATCCTCCGGGAAATTGTCATGAGGAGACAAGCCGCTTTGAGGAATTCAAGCTCCAGCCACATGTCCACCTCTTGAAGACCTAGAACGTCCTCCGCGACCACGTTGAGAAGAGACGGCCATAACTGAATGTGCACCAGTACCTGATGATTGTGCTGATGAGGACTGATGGATTCTAGTCGCCACATTTCTTAGATCAATAGGTGAGATAGGAGTACCCGGAAAAATAGCGAGACAGGAATCCATTGTATCAGCAACCTGACCCCGATAACGGTAAATGGAAGAGTTGAACGTGAGTGACAACAGTTTATCTGTTGTCCACCCTCCCAATTGCTCCTCCAAGTCCAACAGGCTTCTCTTCAAGGACTCATAGCCAGAGGAAATTGAGTCCAAAGCATCCGGCGGTTGTGCAATCTCAGACCAGCGATTGAGGAGAAGAGACCAGGAGGGGCCGGAGAAACGTTGGTAGAGTGAGACCCAGGTCCCGTGGAGCAACAAGTGTAGCGCCTTGTCAATAGAATTCTTGATCATGGCCAGTACCCCAAGAGCAGTGGGAACATCATCTTCAAATAGATCGCGCTTGAAGTAATCAGCCACCTGAGTAACACCTAAAACTAGATCCTTCAACAATGCCGACCACAGGGGAAAATTTGATCCATTGACAGCCAACGTCGGCTTGAAGTTGTTGCCAAGATATTGCCATTTGAGTTGACTGGCAACAGAAGACAAAGCGTTGAGAGGATTGGATTGGTTGTTAACAGCCATCAGATTTTTAATCAAGAGAATTTTCAGCATGTCATCGTCCATGCCTTTGAACCTCGAATCACCAAGTAGCTGAGCGAGAATACCATCAACCAATGCCAAATCCCTCTTCACATCCTGAAACAAGGCCGAGTCCTTCTTCACCTCCCAAAATGAGGCCAAGTCCCTCCTTGCATTAGAGATCGTTCGTTTGTACTCGGGTACCTGTTGATTTTTTTCAAAAAATAGGTACCAAGTACCGCACCAGGCACCTCCCGGCGGGTACCGGCGGTAATTTTGGCAGGTACCGCGGGTACCTCCCCTCTCTTTCTAACCCAGGTTCCACCTTTTTATATTTATTGTAAAATATCAGTCCCTAGTTACTTTTTTTCCATCCTTTCATATGTATTGTTATTGGAAGAATCCTACTTTGTTATGATTATATTTTCATATTTATTGAAAATATCATTCCCAAGTCACTTTTTTTCCTTTTGACATATTTGTTCATATTTAAGAATTAATTGTAAACTGAATCTTGAATATTGCAATTCATTTTCCAGGCTCAATTTTCATTATTTTTTGAAATTTGATTTTTTTTTCCCTACAGTTTAAGAGGTTTCAAGCTTTATGGTATTGCCCAATTTGCATAAAAATCAAAGGATTAATTCTAATATATAAGCTTACCCTGTTTCTTGCATGATATTTATCAGATACAAATTTTATTTATATGCAAAATGGATAAAAATATAAATTTCTAAAACTCTCGAAATGTAGGAAATCAATTTAAAATTTGAAAAAATTATGAAAATTAAGCCTGGAAAATTAATTAAAAAAAACATGTCAAATGCAATATTCAAGAAAGATTTTTTATTTTAATGGAAAAAGATTATTATCATAATTGTGTACATGTATAAAAGTGTAGGAAAAAAATTTAATATGTCAAAAAATAATGAAAATTAAGCTGTAAAAGATTTAGTGGAAAAATGGGTCTAATTGCAGTATTAAAAATGAACCGTTGATTTTTTTTTCAAATTGGATTTTACCATTAAATTCTAAGCATTTTTTAGTGTGGGAAAAAAATTTAAAATTTCAAAAAATCATGAAAAATAAGTGGCAAAAAGTTAATAATCATCCGTTACTTGGGGAGGTACACGTAGCGGTACCCGGGTACCGCCTGCTTTTTTGCCAAAAGACCCGCACCCGGCACCTCCTGGCGGGTGCGGGCGGTACCCGCCAAGCGTTACTAGGTACCCAGCAAAGGGTACCGCGGAACAATATCTAAATTGACTGGTTTCAAAAAATTAACCATTTTAAAAACCTGTTGGTTATTCAACTAGCAGATTTTGGGACCCTTGGACAAAGAATTTCATCTTTAGTTGATTGACTGATTTCTGATTGTGTATTTGGTATATTTGATACCCCCTAATAGATAACTATCAGTGTTACACACTGATGGTAATCTGTTATCAGTGTTACACAATGATAGTAATCTGTTATCAGTGTTACACACTAATAGTAATCTATTATCAGTGTTACACACTGATACTAATCTATTATGAGTGTATGACACTGATAATAGAGTATTATGAGTTTTAAACACTCATAATAAGTTATTATCAGTGTATAAAACCAATAATAATACTAATAATAACTTCTTATCAGTATGTAACACTGATAATAGATTATCATCAGTGTTACACACTGATAATAATGTAACACTGATAATAATTTATTATCAGTGTGTAACATTGATAATAACTTATTATTAGTGTGTAACACTGATAATAACTTATTATTAGTGTGTAACACTGATAATAATTTATCATCAGTGTGTAACACTGATAATAATTTATTATCAGTGTGTAACATTGATAATAACTTATTATTAGTGTGTAACACTGATAACAACTTATTATTAGTGTGTAACACTGATAACAACTTATTATTAGTGTGTAACACTGATAATAACTTATTATTAGTGTGTAACACCAATGATAATCTATCATCAGTGTTACACACTGATAATAACTTATTATTAGTGTGTAACACTGATGATAATGTATTTTCAGTGTGTAATATTGATAATAATCTATTATCAGTGTGTAAAACTGATTGTCAGCCTACGTGATTCCAAGGAATAACCTTCTAGCTACACGTGGTGCAAATTATAAGAAAGGTACGTGGTTATTTGAAATAAATTTAAAGAAGAATAATAAATAAATAAATATTAAAGTTAATCTTTATTGGGGATTAATAAACATACCCCCCTTTTCTGCTATTCACACCTGGCTTTCTGCTTCTACACCCGGTTTTTCCCAGACTTTTTAATTCATTTTTGGCAATTCTAAATATGCTAAAAATGTTCTAAAATTGAACATTCTTTTTGGGTATATAAAAAATCCTCAAAAGAGAAATCTTAATTTTAACTTATTAGGGGGTATCAAATATAACCAAATCCACCATTATCTAATTGGCTGGTTTTGAAAAACCCAGCATTTTTTAAACATGCTGTTTATTCATATCCCCCCTTTGGGGACCCATTGGTGAAAAAAAAATTGGATAATTGACTGGTTTCTAATGGTGGATTTCTTATATTTGATAACCCCTATTCTATTCATCAAGTTCTTTTTCTGCCTATGAGTTTTTGAAACTTCAAAGTACATTAAAATCTATCATTGGTACTGCCCAATCTTTGGGAAATCTATAAAGAACCAAATTTGATTTCATTTTGGAAATCCCAATGTTATTGGTTTTGAGTAATAAGCAAAGAAAAAAAATGGGTGAGAAAAATAAAAAAAATTGAAATGCTCTTTTGGGAATTTTTAACATGCCCAAAAAGAATGCTGGATTTTAGGTGATTTTTAGCATATTTGGAATCCCCAAAAAATGAATTAAAAAGGCTGGGAAAAACCTGGTGTAGAAGCAGAAAAGCGGGTGTGAAAAACCGGGTGTGGATAGCAGAAAAGGGGGGTACGTTTATTAATACCCTATTTATTTATATTCATAGAGGGGCCTGTTTTTAGACAGGGGTTGTTTAATGCCCTCTATAGGTATTTTGCAATAGCAGAGGATTTTGTAACCTAGTAATAACTGGGACCTGCGTGCAGGGGTTGTTGAATACCCAGTTCTTAATGGGGGAAGAATTCAAGGGGAATTTGCGTACTCACTAGTAGAAAATTCCACAGATATCTTGAAGTTTTCAGGAGCAAGGAGTTGGACAGTTGAATGGCGTAGAATTGGTGGCAATTGTAGGCGTGGTAATTTCAACTGTAGATTGCTGGATTTGTTGAGGCTTTTGAGAATAAGAACAGCTGTTCACAAGGTTGGACACAAGTGTAAGACTGGTGGAAAACACATAGTGAGCTTATGGTTTGTTTTAAAGCTGGGGCATCCTCTTTTGGGCGCTTCAACAGACATTATTTATACCTTTTGGCTGCCCTGGAGGCGCAAATGGAGGCCAGTAGTAGCCTATGGGCGCCTAATCACTATTCCCATGTATTTCTTGGCAGTATTCTATACATGTAGTGTTATCAGCACATGGCTTATTGATAACAACCAGTTTCACACTAATTTTAGTGAAACTTGGAAGTCTTATTTCCATAGAAATAGCCATGTAGTGGGGATACTTTTCAAGTCTCATAATTATTTTTACCGTTTTCCCAAACCCTCTTTACCCCCTGTCCATACTTCTTATGTGCGTGGGGGTACTTTTGGGCGCTTTCCTCCATGCCTCCCTCAAACTCCAGGGGGGCCTGTACAGGGGGCACAGGCTTGGAGTTTCCCAGGGCACGCAGGGGGTTACATGTGTATGTAACCTGGCTGGTATCAAGGCGCGGAGGGGCCAAGCTGTACATATGTAACAAGGCACACGGGGTTTGAGACATACAGCATATAATCCTGCTATATCCATAACTATGCACCACACCTCAATTCTAAGTCCAGAATTGAGGTAAAAGCATTTGCACTTAATTATATAAGCATATTGCCTGGGCCTGGGCGTGTAAAGCAGCCACAGGGTATGTGGTAAACCTTTAGGCCAGGTTTACACAAAGAAGGCGTGGGAATTAGGGGGTACTGTAAGTGAGGCACCCTACCTAATTTTAGGTTTAGAATCAGAATCTGAAATGATATTCTAAGTTTTCTTAATGGTTCTCTTAGAATATTATACTTTTTGTGATTTCTTCTTTTATTTTGTTATTTCTTGTTATTTCAATGTTTTTATTTATAATAATATTTCTACTTGTGTTAGTACATAAGTAAAATATTTTATTTGTTATATTCAATTCATTTTATTTTTTACATTTTTAAGTACTACTGACAGGTTGTCTCTGTTCTAGTAGCAAGCTGACATTGATAATAGTCTATGATCAGTTTGTAACACTGATAATAACTTATTATCAGTGTGTGACACTGATAGTAATCTATTATCAGTGTATAACAATGATAAAAACCTATTCTCAGTGTGTAACACAGATAGAAATTTATTATCAGTGTGTGACACTGATAGTAATCTATTATCAGTGTATAACACTGACAAAAACTTATTCTCAGTGTGTAACACAGATAGTAATCTATTATCAGTGTGTGACACTTACAATAACTTATTATTAATGTGTAACACTGCTGATATTTTTTATCAGTGTCAGCCTGCTACTAATCAGAGCCAGTCTGAACATAGCAAATAATTACATATTAAAGAGATATTATTACATATGTACATACTAACATAAAATAATAAATAAATATTATTTAAATAAGTGGAATCACTATGAAAGAGACATTATCACATATTACACATATCTTGTAATATTTTATAATAAAAACACTTAAATAATTAAATAAAATAATAAAATAAACAGAATCTGTTAATAACTTCTGAACCTTAAGTATAACTCTGAATATTATTGCAGATTCTGAATCTACATGAAAAATAAACTAGGGTACCTCACCAACAGTACCCCTTAATTATTACTCCTTCATGTACTTTGTAACCCTTGGGTAACATCAGACCCAAAACACGCTACAAGCCCCCCAGTTACAGCATACTACAGGTTTCCAGGGGGCTA